TTTAAACTCCACATTAAAAAATGTATACAGCCCAGTCAGGCATGGCTCAGTGGTTGAGCATCAACCTACGATCCAGGAGATCCCAGTTTGATTCCCAGTCAGGGCACATGCCTGGGTTGTGGGCTTCTTCCCCAGTCGGGGGCATGCAGGAGGCAGCTGATCAATGACTCTCTCATCGATGTTTCTATCTCTCTCCCTCTCCCTTCCTCTCTCTGAAATCAATAAAGATATATTTTTAAAAAAACCAAAAATATATACAGTTGACCCTTGACCAACTCGGATTTGAACTGCTGGGATCCTTATATCCTTGAATTTCTTACAATGAATATATAGTCAGCCTTCTGACCCCCAGGGTTTTGCATCTGGGCATTCAACCAACCATAGACCGAACAGTGTTTTCAGCCTGCAGTTGGGAATACACAATGCCAACTGTGTGCGTTCTACAGCATCTTATATGAGGGACTTGAACATCCTCAGCTCTGAGGATCCACAGGGTCCTGGAACCAATCCCTGCCCCCACCCCTGTGGATACTGAGGGATTATAGTCAAGTTTTGGGTGAGTCAAAAGTCGTAAGTGGGTTTTCCACTGCTTGGAAGTCGGCTCCTAACCACGTTGTTTAAGGGTCAGTTGTATGACCAAAAATAGTAGCCCAGAGTCTAGCTGGTGGGTATTGGATCAAAGAAATTAAAATACTTCCTGTGTTTTGTATTAACTCTAAAGTATGCATGGTACAGTAGATAATCTGTAAGTGTTGTTGAACTAAAATGAACGAAAGCAGTAATAATATAATACCTTTATGGAAGACTTCATACATATCAAAACTCTGAGAGTTCTGGGGTTTATGATATGGTGCCTTTTCAACTTCAAGATTTCTTGAGAGCAAAATTCTCTGTGTTCTTAGTATTTCTAAACAGGAGAGTATCTTGGGGCATCTCTCTTTTATTCATGAGAGGGAGGGAGGGAGGGAGAGAGAGAGAGAAACAAACATCTATTTGTTGGTCCACTTATTTATGCATTCATTGGTTGATTCTTGTATGTGCCCTGACCGGGGATCAAACCCACAACCTTGGTGTAGGGTGGTGGTCTGAGCTATCCAGCCAGGTCAGATGTCTTTTGATTGGAGAAGATTAGAAGGGAGGGTGAGGACTTGATTCACTGACTGCATATAGAAGACTTAAGCAGCAACAAAACCTCACAAATAACCCAATTTAAAAATGGGCAAAGGACTTGAATAGTCATTTCTCCAAAGAACATATAGAAATGCCCAATAAGCAAATGAAAAGATGCTCAACATCAGTAATTGTTACGGAGATGCAAATCAAAGCCACAGTAAGATACCACCTCACACCTGCTTTGATGGCTGCTATTAATAAACAGGAAAAAAGGGCTGGCGAGGATGTAGAGAAATTGGAACCTGGGTGCACTGTTAGGTGGGAATGTAAAATGGTACAGCCACTGTGAAAAACAGTGCGGCAGCTCCTGAAAAAATTAAAACTACCATGTGGTCTAGTAATCCCACTTCTGGGTATATGCCCAAGAGAAATGAAAGCAGAATCTTGAAGAGATATTTGTACACCAGGTTCATAGAAGTACTGTTCACAGTGGCCAGAAGGCGAAAGCGACCCACATGTCCACTGATGGATGAACAGATAAACAGACGTGGACTATACAGGGGTCGGCAAAAGGAGGTTTACGGTTGTGGGTACACAAAATGGAGTTTATTTTTATTTATTTATTTATTTATTTCACCTTCACTCTCATTTTTAGAGAGAGTGGAAGGGAGGGGGAGAGGCAGAGAAATGGCGATGTGAGAGAGAAACATTAATTGGTTGCCTCCCGCACCCCCCCAACCAGGCCCAGGGATCGAGGCTGCAACCAAGGCACATGCCCTTGACTCGAATCAAACCCTGACCCGAGGGCCCACACTCTAACCACTGAGCCAAACTGGCCAAAGCCAGAGTTAATTTTTGTATTATTTATTTATTAATTATTGTATTACTTATTTATATTATTTGTCTTATTGTTATTATTTCGTATCCTTACTTATGATTTATCTTTTAGGTAATGATGGCTGATAATTTTACCTACTTTTGCCCACCCTGTCCAATGGTGTACTATTCGGCATTAAAAAAGGAAGGAACTCCTGTCACATGCTACAGCACGAGTGAACCTTGAAGAAATTGTGTTAAGTGAAATAATCCAGACACAAAAAGACAAGTACTGTGTGATTCCACTTACATGACGTGCCTATAGCAATTATTCTCATAGAAACAGAAAGTGGAATGGTGGCCTCCAGGGGCTGAAGGAAGGAAAGTGGGGAGTTGCTGTTTATTGGGTATAGAGTTTCAGTTTTGCAAGATGAAAAGGTTTTGCTGACCTGTTTTGAATATATTTAACACTACGAAATTGTACGCTTAAAAATGGTTGAGCCCTGGCCAGTGTGGCTCAGTTGGTTGGAGCATTGTTCCGTCCACGGAAAGGTCTCATGTCCGATTCCCAGGCAGGGCAGGTAGGGGAGGCAACTGATCGATGTTTCTCTCCCACATCCATGTCTCTCCCTCTCTCCCTTTCTCTCCTTCTCTCTAAAATCAGTAAAAACATGTCCTCGGGTGAGGATTAAAAAAAAAAAGGTTGAGATGGTAAATTTTATGTTATATGTATTTTTCCACAATTAAAAATGAAAAGATTTTATAGCATAGGGAATATAGTCAACAATATTGTAATAGCTATGTACACGGTGCCAGGTGGGTACTGGAAATATCAGGGGGAACACTTTGTAAAGTATATGATTGTCTAATCACTATACTGTACACCTGAAACCAATACAAAATAATGCTGAAAGTAAACTGTAATTGAAAAATTAAAAAATAAATAACACTTTTTTAAATGAAAAGCTTAATTAATTTATTTTTTAATCTTCATCTGAGGATATTTTTTCCATTGCTTTTCAGAGAGAGTGGAAGGAGGAGGTAGGGGGAGAGAGAGAGNGGGGGAGAGAGAGAGGAACATCGATGTGAGAGAGACACAACCGAGGTACGTGCCCTTGGCCAGAATCGAACCCCAGACCTTTCAGTGCAGTGCACAGGCTGACACTCTAACCACTGAGCCAAACTGGCTGGGGCTAAAATGAAAATCTTTAAACAGAACAAACATTTTGAAATAAAGATGTAAATAAAAAAGAAAAATAAGTGAAAATTGTTCTCATATCAACAAAAACAACCCCAACTATTTGTCTTCTCTTCTCAAATTATTAGTTTGCTACATCCTGTAAACATGGACTTTATCCATCACAATTAAAATAAGGGCTTGAGATCTGAGTAGCTAGAGTTTCTCATTGGGATGACTGTATGTTTTATTGTCCAAACTGGAAAAACTCATGAGAGCGAAAGGGGGTGCTATTAATAATCATCTCTAGATGAATAGTCATCCCCCCTTTTACTCTGGAGGTGGGAAATTTGTAATTTGCAACTTTTTAAAAAATATATTTTTATTGATTTCAGAGAGAGGAGGGAGAGGGAGAGAGAGAGAGAAACATCAATAATGAGAGAAAGTCATTGATCGGCTGCCTCCTCACTGGGAATCGAACTGTGACCTCCTGGTTCATAGGTCAACGCTGAACCACTGAACTATGCCAGCTGGGCTGTAATTTGCAACTTTTGAGTGTTAATTTTAACATGTTTGGGTTTTGTTTTTGTTTTTCATATTTTCAGGTATCCAACCAAAGGATTAGAAATACTTTCATAGAATAATCCCAAATATAAGCTATTATTTGTTAATATTAACAAGCATTTTAGGTACTTGTTACAAAACAGGTAGCTCTGATAACCCTAAAAACAAAACAAAACAAAAAAACATTTGTAAATGCAGCCATCTCCACAGCCCTGAACATTTAAAAAGGTGGATTTTCAATCATTCAGTCATTTGGGAAATATTAGTACAATTTTTTTAATACTGTTCTATGTTGTGAAAAAGACAAAAATATTGAAGATGATGTTTCTGACTTTAAGGTTTTAGGGCCTAGCAATAAATAAGCTAGAGAGCATCACCTGATAGTAACCTTATTTGTTAGTGTTGTAGTGCCCACAGAGTGATAGAAAGAAAATGTTTCAGTTTAGAGCAGTGATTTTCAAAACTTTTTCATCTCATGCCACACATAAACTAATTACTAAAATTCTGTGGCACAGCAAAATATGTATTTTTTGCTGATATGACCAAAAAAATAGGTATAATTGTGATTGATTTACAAAAAAATAAAATAAAATAATAGTAATCACCTACCCTTTTGGCTTCAAAGTGACTTTTAAAAAATCAGGTGCCTATAGTAGTATATAAGGATTTCTGGTACCAAAAATTAACCAATCAGATGCAACCTTATTACGGGACCTGACCAGTAACTCTGCAACTCTGTTATATGACCTATATATTTATGGTTCAAGACAGGGCATTCACACTGACAGCTGTTGTTGGGCAATTGTCATTTTTTTATTCAACAATCTAAGGGAAAAGAGGTCAGTGCCCCTAACTAAATAGTCATGTATTGCACATTTAAAAACTTTTGTAGCACACTGGTTGAAAATCACTGGTTTAGAGGATCACCACAAGGGAACCTAGAACTTGAATCAGTGTTGATGGGAGGAAGGTCATTACATAGGGTTGAAACTTAGAGAACAGGCTGAAATTTTTCCTTCCTTGTTTAGAAAAAAATAAGAATGCAGTAATAGCAGCCATACATTGTCACACATTGTTATGTTCTCCCATATTGAGGAATCAGTGATGTTAATTTTTAAAAATCACCTTTTCAGCCATGGCTGGTGTGGCTCAGTTGGTTGGGCATCCTCCTGTGCACCGAAAGGTTGCTAGTTCAATTCCCTGTCAGGGCACATGCCTGGGTTGTGGGCTTCATCCCAGGTAGGGGCGTGCAAGAGGTGGCAGATTAATGTTTTGCTCTCACGTGGATATTTCTCTCTCTCTCTCCCCTCCCTTCCTCTCTCTCTAAAATCAATTTTTAAACTTTTTTTTAAAAATCACCTTTTCAAAAAATTCTTAGCTTTGTTTTTTTAAGAATAAGAAAACTGACTTATTTATCTAGAAATGGAATTCAGTATCTAAAGAAAGAAAATTTCAGTTCCTGGTTTGGACTTTGCTACTGTTTTTACAACCAAGACTGCCTTTAAAAACAAACCCCAAAAAACCTTTTAAAACATTGTCTGTTTCCCTCATTTGCTCTGACAATAGAGTTTGGTGTTACACATCCATGCAGGGATGGAGAAGGGGGGCCACCCCTGGGAAGGCTCAGGTGCAAGGGTGGCTTCCATGTGTGTCTCACTTGAGTGCCTATGACATGAGGGCTCCTTAGCACACCTCTGTTTCCAAGGCAGCATTGTGAGCTGAATTTACAACAGATTTGGAATCTGAAGTTGTACATTGGAACCCTAGATCTCCCATTAAAATTGCATTACTTATGGCAAAGTGGCTTAAATTCTTTGAACTTCAGTTTCCTCATCTGTAAAATCAAATTAAGTTTTGTTATGAGAATTCACACAGAGAGAAAAAATCCCCAAGAAAGGAAGGTCCAAATGTAGAACCTGGCACATAGTAGGGGCCTAGTAAATGTCGTTTTTGTTTTTCTTTTATAAATGAACTGTGAAAAAAATTCCACACAGATGTGCCCCAAAATTGTACAAATATAGATTTTCCTGACAGTTAAACATTTTTAAACATTATTTCCTGTTTTCAAGAAATGTGCAGGTTAAAGGAGCGGAAACAGCAAAATTGCAAGAGTGCAAGAAAGTCATCTCTCACTGAGAGCCCGCAGTGTGCCTCTCTGCACCTCATTTTCTCCTCTGTGCGTCAGAAGGAGGAGTATGTCCCGTTCGGTCACCAAGAAATAGTCCCAAACTCTTCTGTCAGGCAAACATCCATCCTGTTGCCTTTGACCTGTGTTTTCACTACCAACTCTCACACTTTCCTTTCTTAGAGCAGAGATTCTCAAACTTGCGTCCGCATCAGAACAGCTTTGAAGGCTCCCCAGTCAGAAGGTCTGGGATTGGGCCTGAGAATTTGCATTTATTCCTAACAAGTGGGGTTTACCTGCTGACCCGGGACCACAGCGCTGAGAACCGCTGGTTAGAACAACCTCCCACTACCCACTTTTCTTTCTCCTGCCTTAAAACTTTTGTTAAATTATACTTAAAGTCTCTCCCTTTTTGGTAAAAGTAGCATGGAAAAAAACCATTATGTTTTCTCCACCACCCCCACCCCCATCTTTTGTCTTTTAGATCATAAGCTCCTCTGGTACGAAGACTGAATTTTTCCCCCAGTGATATAGTGAAAACAACATAGGTTTGTAGCAAGACAGATTCTGGGTTAAAAATCTTCTCTCTCTCTTTTTTCGTTCTTTTTTTTCTTTATTTTTTGATGGGGTTAAAAATCTTGACTCTATCACTTATTAGCTCTGTGACGTTGGATACATTATTTAACTAGTTGGAGCCTTAGTTTTCTTGTCTGTCAAATGGAACTAGTGATTTTCATATCTTGGGAGTTTTGTGAGCATTGAATATAATGTGTGTAACCTCCTAGTGCAGTTCCCAAGCATAATGAAAATAGCTAATATTTATTGAGCATTTACTGTGTATTAGACATTCTTTCAAGGTCTTCACATATTTGAACTTGCCTATTTTTCACAACAGCTAATCTCTACAACCCATGATGTTTTCAGTATTATCTCCATTTTACAGAAGAGGAAACTGTGGCATACAGAGAGAAGTAACTCGAACTTAAGAACAAACATCTGGCTGAACTGGAATTTGAACTCCATGGTCTATCTACATCTAGAGACCGCATTCTAAACCATTGAGCTTTGCCCCTTTAACAACATAACTTTAGGGAGCATTTGAGATCTTGCTCCCTGGCATATGTCGTCAGTTTGGCTGAAATAAACTCATAAAAATTCTCTACAGGTTTGGACTTTTCTCACATTGATATTTACTTGGCATAGTGGGCAGGATTCTGGGGCAGCCCACCCAGGACCACTCTGCAGACCCAGATCTGGTGCTAGGAACAAGCAAGGGACCATTGTGCCCAGCGGCGCCCTGCTTCACATGGGGTGACTGTGGGCGAGTCTCTCGGCACCCTGAGCCCCTTTGCCTTAAGTAACAGGCCGTGACTTCATTCGAGCTGTTCTTAGAAAATCCTTGGCGTGGTGGAAAGGGGCGCAGTTCTGGCAGCATCCAGTAAGCTCTTGCTGGCCCTAGCTGGGGCATTTAGGTGACTAAGAGTCTTTGTGGGGTTGCCTGAGGGAAATTTCTTCTGGAATGTAAAGCAGTCCTACAGGGATATTCACTCATAAGGAGATGTGCATGTAAGGGCAGGTTTTCCCTAGAAGGTTGCTCAGACTGTATAGATCTTAAAATTAACATGGGCAATAGTGCCTCCGAGGCCGTCAAGCCCCACAATAGTCAGCCTCCCATTAATACTAAGATGGCCATCATGAGGATCCTTTGATACTTATAAATTAATCTTTGCACGCACAATTACAAAAAGGCAGCCATAAAATTAGGCAGAATGAATGGAAAACATTTAATTGGTCTCTCAAAGCTTCAAAAAGAGGATAGATTGACCTATGATGTCATTTAGATGTTAACCCAATTCTTTCAGGTATTAAAATGGTTGTCCTTATTTTAAAAGGGGGAAGGTTATTTGGAACTTGACTGGTCAAGGACAGAGATAAATTGTAAATGCCTCCAAAACAAAATTTGGATCCATCTCTTCTCTGTTTGTGTCTGTCTATGTGTGTCTGTATATGTATGTTGTAAATGTGAGGTAATTTTCTACCTCTAAATGGTATTGCTAAAATTAATTTAAAGGCAAATGGTTGTAAGGATTTGGTATTCTGAAATTCTCAGAAATATAGAAACTATCTCAAATGCTTTTCAAGTTCATCTAATATTAATCCCTAGTAAACAAAAGCTAGCTTAAGTTTGTTGGTTTAGGTAAAACAGACATATCTTTATTTTACCCAGGTTTTACAGAAATATGTCTGTGTTAATAATTGACCTTGATGTTTATGAAAAATGTTTCTAGATGTTAGAAAACACCCAAACTAAAGAATACTAATTAATTACTTTTTTGTTTTAATTAGACATTGAGGTTTTAAGTGTTAAGATCTCAATATATGTAGGAAAAACTTTGCGATGTATCTGAAGGGCCCCTGGAATACTTCAAAGATTTGAAATAGCATGGGAACCATTGTAAAATAAGTGAGGAAAACTTCTAGTGCATATGGTATAAATAAACAATGGTTTTAAATTTTAACAATTGTTTGAGCCCCCAGCCGGCATGGCTAAGTGGTTGAGCATCGACCTACGATCCAGGAGATCACGGTTCGATTCCTGGTCAGGGCACATGCCAAGGTTGTGGGCTTGATCCTCAGTTGGGGGTGTGCAGGAGGCAGCCGATCAATGACTCTCTCATCATTGGTTTCTATCTCTCTCTCTCCCTTCCTCTCTTGGAAATCAATAAAGACATTTTTTTAAAAATTTGTTGGAGCTATAAGACACCCAAGACAGCCACTTGGTTCTTCCCTGCTCCCTGGCTCCCCATTTTTCTGTTTTTGCATTCCTTCCTGCATCAGTGTGCATTTAAGCTGAATTTAGATGAAGGAATTTATGAGCTGACATTGTTGAAAGGAGACATCTTACACTATTGCCAAGGTTTGATAGAGTCATTTCAAGAAAATGCCAAGTTAGTAACTGCTTCCTTTCACAGCAAGTCCCAGGAGACAAAGATCATTGACTGCCACCTGGAGATTTTTGCTTATTGGAAGGGACATCAAATAAAAGACACTCCAGTCTCATTGGAAGGGACTTTATCAGATGCCTAGCCATGAACGAACATCTACCCCTGTCTACAGACATCAAAGAGTCTCGAGGACAAGAAGCCACTAACACCAGAGGTAAACAGTTATCCCAAGACATCTCCAAGACCTATATACCTGTGGATTGATATTGAACTCAGAATCCATTCTGTGTGACTGTCTTTGTCTGTCTGATAATGATATTAGTCATAATAATAGTTATATGTGGTTTTTGAATTTTTCTATATAGTCAAACTATTTATGATTACTGAACATGTTTGAGATAATTGTTAATACTCTTATCATGGCTAATGTAAATGTTATACTAGATGTCAAGTACAGAAAAGTAAGACAGAAGGCAAAACTCGAATTATGATCATTCAAAGGATAGACATGATCCAGAGTGTTGTTGTTTTTCAATTGATTTTAGAAAGGGAGGAAGAAAGAGAGAGAGAGAGAGAGAGAGATGTAAGAGAGAATCACTGACTGGTTGCCTCCCATAGGTGCAACCTAGGTATGTGCCCTGACCGGGAATTGAATGTGTGACCTTCTGGTGTACAGGATGATGCTGCAACTGACTGAGCCACACCAGCCAGGGCCAGAGTGGTTTTTTTCCGCAGTGAAGTCCATAAGACCTGACTGCTTTCCATTTACCTTCCCAGGAAGCACAGAGCGTCCCAAACAAGATATGCCCAAAGAGGCCCACACCAACACATGTCATAATTAAAATGGCAAAGGTTAAAGACACAGAATCTTTTTATTATTATTATTATTATTATTGAAGTATATCTTTATTGATTTCAGAGAGAAGAAGGGAGAGGGAAAGAGAGTTGAAACATCAAGGATGAGCAATCATTGATTGGCTGCCTCCTGCACACCCCCTACTGGGGATTGAGCCCACAACCCAGGCATGTGCCCTGACCAGGAATCAGATCTCAATCTCCTGGATCCTAGGTCGGTGCTCAACCACTGAACCACACCTGGTCAGGCAACACAGAGAGAATCTTTAAGGCCACAAGAGAAAGACAATTAGTTACCTACAAGGGAGCTCCCATAAGACTGTCAGCTGATTTCTCCACAGAAACATTTTTGGCAAGAAGGAATTGGCATGAAATATTTGAAGTGATGAAAAGCAAGGGCCTACAACCAAGACTACTTTACTCAGCAAGGCTATTATTTAAAACTGAAGGAGAAATAAAGGGCATCCCAGACAAGAAAACGTTAAAAGAGTTCATCGCCACCAAAACCAGTATCACATGAAGTGTTAAATGGTCAAGAAGAAGAAGGAGGCAGTGGAAGAAGAGAGGAGGAGGAGGAAGAGGAGGAGAAGGAGAAGAAACAGAGAAACATAGTTAAAAGAATAAAATAGCAATAAATACATACCTATCAGTAATCACTTTAAATGAAAATGGCTTAAATGCTCCAATCAAGAGACATAGGGTAGCTGAATAGATAAGAAAACAAGACCTGTATATATGCTGTCTACAAGAGACCGACTAAAAGAGAATGAAAGATAAACACAGACTAAATGTAAACAGATGGAAAAAGATATATATTTTTTCTTAATTTTATTTTTGTTTAAAGTATTACAGATGTCCCTTTTTCTCGCCAGTGACCCATTCCACCCCGTGTCATCCCCCTTCCCAGTCCCTCTCCTCACCATTGTCCAAGTCCTTGGGTTGTGCATATATGCATATAAATTCTTTGGTTACTCCCTCCCCCTCCACCCACCCGTCCTCCTCCATCCCTCTGGCATTTGTCAGTCTGATCTATGCTTCCATGTCATTGAATCTATTCTGTTCATCAGTTTATTAAGTTCTTTAGATCCCACATATAAATGAGATCATGTGATGTTTGTCTTTCTCTGCCTGGCTTATTTCACTTAGCATAATTTTCTCCAGGTCCATCCATACTGTTCCAAAGGGTACGGGATCCTTCTTCTTTACAGCTGCATAGTAGTATTCCATGGTGTAAATGTCCCACAGTTTTTTTATCCACTCATCTACTGATGGGCACTTGGGCTGTTTCCAGATCTTGGCTATTGTAAACTGCGCTGCTACGAACATAGGGGTGCATATATTCTTTCTGACTAGTGTTTCAGGATTCTTAGGATATATTCCTAGAAGTGGGATGACTGGGTCAAAAGGCAGCTCCATTTTTAAGTTTTTGAGGAACCTTCATACTGTTTTCCATAGTGGTTGCACCAGTTTGCATTCCCACCAGCAGTGTACTAGGTTCTCCTTTCTCCAAATCCTCCCCAGCAGGAGTTGTTTGTTGACTTGTTGATGGTAGCCATTCTTACAGGTATGAAGTGATACCTCATTGTAGTTTTAATTTGCATCTCTCTGATGATTAGCAACGTTGAGCATTTTCTCATGTGTCTCTTGACCATCTGTATGTCCTCTTTGGAGAAGTGTCTATTCAGGTCCTTTGCCCATTTCTTAATTGGGTTGTTTGTTTTCCTCTTGCTGAGCAGTATAAGTTCTTT